GCTTTGGGAATCCTAAAGAAATCTTGCAAAGCTTTAATTGCTGGGGTGGGGGGTTGTGTGTGTATACTTCAGCCAAGGCTGCCTATTAACCATTTAGGATCCTCAGCCCTGCTGATGAGCAGCCGCGGGCTCCGAGGGCACCCGACACACAATGCCACAATGCCTTTCTTTCCTGATATTTTATTTTTTTCTGGCCGCGCCACCAAACCGGTTAAGGGATGCGCTGGATTTGCTCGGTTGTCTCCATTGTTGGGATTGTCTGGAGGAATTCTGTCACGCTAAAACGGTGGCTTTTTTTTTTTTTTTTTTTAATAAAAGGTGAGGTAAGAGTGACGTAAAAATAAAATTGCCAACTTGATGAAATTAAGGGGGAAATTAAGCTGTAGACGAGTTGTCATGACGACAAGGATGTTCTATTGATGAACTGTACTCCTCCCTGTCCAATCAGATAGTGGAGCTGAAGCTGGAGCATGAACAGGAGAAGACGCACCTATTCCAGCAGCACAACGCAGAGCAGGACTGCCTGGTCCGAGACCATGAACGGGAAATCAAGAAACGGGACAGACAGCTCCGCGCTACCATGGCAGAGCACCAGAGCCAAATTCAAGAGAGCAGGAAGAGAGAGGGCCAGGTAATGATCAATACCATCCGCGCGGCGTTCGCTTATTGGAAATTGCTGATAATGAGTGTTTCCTGTTTGGAGCATTGTTGGTGGTGCACGCTGGGGGAGCATTTACGAAACTGCCACATAAACCTGATTTCGTTTTTCTTCTTTTTTTTCTCTTTTTTTTTTTTTTTTTCCGCTTTCCCCCCTCCCTTTCCACTGCTGAATAGGCTTTAACTGCAAAAACCACAGGTAGCCAGATTAAAAATCCCATGGTGCGCTATAACTCGGCCTGTTTATAATCTTGTCTCATCTTCTTTCATGATGGATTTGTTTAAGGAAAAAAAAAAGGTATCTGTTCTTTTCCCCCCCACACACCCTCACACTCACCCCTCCTTTTCTCCTTCCTGGGCAAATCCATATGAATTGTATCTGCTTCGTTCGTGTGCTTGGTTTTGTTTTAAATCTCTGCAGGTAACTCACAAATGGCTTTTATTCCCCTTTGTTCACATCTTTTTGTTTCAGGTTTTGTATTCTAGATTTGCATTGTGTGTTTGGCTCCGTATGTCGGATGTTTGATACGATGATGTGGGTTTGGGGTCGCTTACCATCACGTTTATTTTCCTACACACACGCACCCCTCCCATCCTCCATCTCCGTGGTCACTGTTGGAAGCCATTTGGCAGAATAACCCCCAGCTGGGGTAGCATTTGACTCTTCAAACTTCTGGATGAAATGCACACTGTCAGCATGGAAAATGATCTTTATGAGTTTTCACTTCAAAAACCATCTTATTGCCTTTTTCTCAATCTATTTTGTAAGGATGACATGGTATATTTTCCTAAGAGCCTGTATTAAAAAAGGCCTGCAATGGCAATCTTTAAAAAAATTAAGGTGATTTCGTAGTTGAAAGAGTTTCCAGGAAATAATCTTTACTAATCAGCGTTAGAATGACTTATCACGCATGGATTATTTTATACCAAAACTGGACATTTTGGTAAAGCATCTTTAAGAACGCGTTTTCCGCGCACCACCACCTTCCCTAGGAGATGTTAGACTCAGGCATTGAGGCATTTTCACTCTACTTTCCTGTAGACTAGTAGGCTGTGGCTTTTCCTGGCAACTATAATGTAGCTAAGGGAAATTGAATTGAAATTGAGTACTTTTTAAATCCTTTTTTTTTGTACATTGGGCGACTCAGACTATCGAGATGAGGCTTAAGGAAGCCTGTTAGAAAGCAAACGGCTTGTTGGGGGAGGATGAGGGATATAGTGCAGAGCCAGGACTTATTTCTCCAATTCCACCATTATGGTTTTCCAAGGAAAACGGGCTATGGTTTTGTGAGAAGGCTTGGGAAGAGGACGTTCAGGTGAAAAAATGAAACCTTGCCTTTTATTCTCTACTGTATTGTAAGCGTGAACAAAGACTTGAGTTGTTCAAGGGGTTGGGTTTTATCTCTGCAGATTTTAGTTTGGCCCAAGATAGATTCAGCTTAGCTACGTCTAACTGTTTGCAGGCGCCTTTTCAGAGTTGTACATCCTCCCACCTGCATTGCTGCCGTCGTGTGTGCGTACAAAGGCAGAGCTGGAGCTCCCAGGGTAAAAAAGAGGTTTAGGATGATATAGAATAGGGTATAGAATTATATCTCTACGTTTCATCCACACACCAGTGTTCATCAGAGCTCCGGTATCGCTCTGTGTGACAGCGAGTACAAAGATAAAGGGACTCTCTTAAGCAAATTCAGAGAACTGGGAGGTGTCTGTAAGTACATCTCTGGTTTTGTTCTCCCGTGGGTCGTTTCTGGCAAAGATTGGAGCCCAAAGTTTGGTTCTGCTTTCCGTCTGCGCTGGGATCCATGGCACTACCACAGGTGCTATGCGGAAAGCTGGGAATTATCACAGCTATTGGGAGAGGCTGCACAGGCTGAGAAGCACAGTTTGGCCTTTTTACAGGGCTTTTCTTTGTACTTTGAATATCCTTGTACAGTCATTTGAACATTGCTGCCATGAGAATGACATGTAAATCAGGGGAGAAAATGCATTGCCTTTGACTGGAAGAGCTGTTGTTTGTTTAAAATCTAGTGAGACTCGAACAGCTTTCAAGGACACGGATTTTTCCATTTTGGAAAATAAATTGTTCTCCGCTCCTTCCTCTGGTCTTTGTATTAGAATTCACCTCTGTGTTTGCAGCGAGCTAACAGACAACACTGTTGTTTCTTATGGAATTGAGGCAGAGATTTTAAAACAAGACATTAAAAAATCTCTCATTTGTTTGCCAAAATGCGTCTTTTGGGCATGTGGTGGTGGCCAATATCCTTTAGGAGACATTTGGGAGTCTCTTAACAGAGATAGCAAGGTAACAAAGATAATCACCCAGTGATTTAGTGATGGTTTAAGCACCTGGTGTTTTCAAAACCTTCGAATCCTGAGCCGTGGTTGACAGCAGTGATTTCCAGGAGCGCTTTGTACCGCAGCGAAGGTGGAGGCCATTTTGCTGGGCGAAATGAAAGGTGGATTTGCTGGGTGTTTGGAGAAATTTAAATAATAATTAGCGTTAATCACACACAAGTAGCTTGGTTTGAAGGACCTATCTGCTCCCGGTGGGTGAGTGATGTGAAGGGACCGTTATGAAAGGTAGTTAGTGTTCCTTAAATCCTTTTCCATATGAAAGAGCAGCGGATACGTATTTCTTAGTAGACATGTTTAAAATATGTATTTCTCACTGTATTCCTAAAGAGCTATGAGCAAGGACTGTGGATCAATTTATTCTCCTGGTACTGAAAAGATTAATTTAATTTTTTGATTGACTATCCGAGTTCTCTACTTTCCCGTGGACCTTCAGCTCCTGTGAAAGACAAGTTACAAAACGGTTAGGTTTTAATTCCAATACAAACATAGTTATTAACGCTTTGATCGCAACTGGAGTATAAAATTTAAGATTTGGGTGCGTTGACAGGTTTTAATTAAATATAAAATAACGTTATTGCTTCTTTGAAATATAAGTCTAATATATTTTCAGGAAAGGAACTTGGTTTAAGTGGATCATCCTTTGTGTTGCTGATGAATTTCTGGGTAACAATTGCATGCCACTTTAGCCCTTGGATTTCTCCATTTCTAGGAGGTTTGCTCTGATTTTTTCACCTGGGGTTGTAATGCTTGGGGAGGAGTAAATTGACTTGTAGGTCAATAAAAGTCAGAGCAGTACAAAGGCTTTTACACCATGCTGTGTTCTTGTAGGCTTTTAAATCCTATACGTGTTCCATGAACTGCCAAAATATTGTTATTTGTTAAACAGTGCTAATCATACAGGATTATGGTTTTTTAAAAGGGCAGTTTTGAATCACTACTTCCATTTAGATTAGTTTCCTTTATATTATCTGGATTTTCTTGAGGAGCATTCTTAAGCTACAGTCTCACTGGTCATTTGTTCCCTACCTCCCTAAGTAATTTGAGTTTATACACTAGTTCACAAAGCAGAGAACTCCTTGGATGGCAGAGATCTTCCTTTGTTTTAACAAAAACAGTCTTGCTACTGAACCAGTGATTTTTCTGAAGCAAAACTCCTTATTACAGCCAATACATCCAGTTTGCTTCTGTGAAATAAGAGAGCAAGGTTAAGAAATTTTAATAACCCAAGGCAGAGGGACGGGGTGACTGTGGTGCCAGTTGTGCCCTTGTATTTCCCCTTTGTCCTGCCAATGCCATTCTCTCCCCAGCACCTTACATGTGCTCTCAACCAGCTCCAAGATTTCCATGTTTCAGCAGCTGTACAGAGTTGGATCATTTTCATGCTTGTTCTTCAACTGTTGACCTTTGGACAAGAAGAAGAAATAAAAATGTAGCCCTGTAACTTCAAATATAGCACTTGGCACCAAAGGAGAGGAAAGAAGTTTCCATGAGGAAGCTGAATTCTCTTTCCAGGTTCCGTTACCAGGTAACTGGCGATTCCACTGTGTTCATCCAGTCATAATTGGGTCACAATAGCTCCAATGATTAGGCACGTTTTGCTCCTGTGTGTCACTGATGTCATAGTACTTCATTTGAACTGACCACACTTGTGCTCTTGAAAATGAGACTGCTGTGAGAGATCATCACTGCTGTTTGGAGGTGTCTTGGGTTTCTCGATAAACAGTTTTTGGTTGGGAAAGGAAAACCTCAAGTAGGTCTGAAGCAACACACACCCATTGAGAATGGAGGCTGTTACAAAAAATCCAACAAACAGACTGGAGGTGGTGAGAAGAGTTAATAAGGTATTATCCCATGGCTGAAATATCTGTTTCCTCTTTTCCTCTCTTGCTTCTTGCACTTCCCATAATCCCCTTGGCCTTTACAATCCCAGTTCGCTTTACCTTCTCCGAAATCAGCAGTTCCTTCCCTGGTGCCCCATGTCTGGCACATCCTGTCACTTCTTTTCTGGCTTCTTCTCTTTGAAAATTTGCTTCTTTGCACCTGGAATCAACAATCTTTCTGCAACTGGTGCTTTGCACCTGGTTTTGTCTGAATGAATTCCAAGCTGTTTGAGCCTGTTGAGTTAACAATGGAAAAAAAAAAAACCAAACCCCAACAGTAATGGTCAGGATATTCATTCCAGCAATGATAGTTATTTTCATTCCTGCAGATTCTTGGTGCATGTTTATGGTTCTGTGGAGATAATTAATGTATGAACACAATGGGAGAGCAGAGGAGATTCCTTTTACCTCCATGTATGCTCTCAGTGTGGAGGGCAGCTGTGCTCATATGTGTGTCTGCAGAGCTCTGACAACTACTGACAGAGGAAAAAATTATTAAAGACATTCTATACTTGTTTAATGGTAATTAAATACCCAACACATGCAGAGTTTCTGCTTGTGTGTAAATATTTCTGGGGCAGTAACTTTTCAGTACTATACTAACATAAAGGATCTGGGGAGCATTTATTTCAGAATATGAGACTTGCTTCAGCTTTTAAGAAGGAACTTACTGTTACGTACAGATAAATCAACTCTTCTGCTTTATGTTAGTGTTCTAACGTCTCCAGACACCAGTTCC